TGTCGTGTCTTACTGAGGACAGCAGGGGTGCCCACCTCCACAGGCAGCTGCCGCGCTGGCCCGCGCTGGGCGGGGGCTCTGCACGAAGTGCGGACTCCTGTGCAGTCACTGCACGGCGCTCCCCCGTCCGCAAGGCTGCTGCGGGAACACCTGGAACAGGCCCCTACCGACCATTTCTATCCCTGCCACAGTGTCAGGGGCGCAGCTCTGCACCTTTGCCCCTGACCCCCTCCCTGTGGCAGGCGCAAATTCTAATCTTGGAAAATAAAGCTTCTAACCTCCCCACAAGGCTTCTTTTGAGCAAAATGCTTGATCCTAATTAGGTGAAAGTTCTGGAGTCAGCAAATAGCTCATGAGGAATGTGCATGCTGTTGGAAACAGGCGGACCCTCCATCACAGGGGCTTTACCACCCAGGTGCTCTGTCCCCCCTGCGCCACTGTGTAGCCTTAGAGCCGCAGCCAGACCCACCTGCACGGCACCCCAACAGCCCCTGCTTGGGGCAGGAGTGGGGCTGGGGGAGTGGCCACACACAGGCCACGGTGCCTCGGTGGAGAGGATGGAAGAAAGGCACTGGCAGAGCCCACGAGATGCCTCGGTGCTGGCTGTGACCTCGCCGGCGCTGCAACTGCAGTGGCGCTCTGCAGACCAGGTAGGTGCCTGCTGCGCCTGCAGCTGAGCAGCTGGGGTCCCAATAAATGCGTCCTGTATAGAATGGAAAGTCACTGCACAAGACTTTCTCTGATTCCTAATACTGTCAGACTCTTATCGCTAATCATAATTGGGATTCTTGCCTCTCCATCGAGCCTGGTATTATTACCAGGAAAGGCCGGCAGGAATCAATATGGAGACAGCAAGGCTGGCTCTTTGTCTCATTGCTTAAAATTAAGGCATCTGTGCTGACAGGCCAGCAGGACAGAAGAGCTTTTTCTCTGTAGCCGCAACCTCCCTCTGACCACAGAGAGCAGGGAGGGTCTCAGAGCACCAGCGGCGTGGTGTGCACACGAAGTCACGTAAAAACCCAACGTAAGCAAGTTGAAGGGAAAGCTAGAAGGGTTTACCTTCCCATAGTGAGTTCTGAATTATCTACTCAGCGTCACTACAATGAAGATGTCCACTTACACTAGCCAGGTTTTGTTTTGGTCCTTGATTAAGACGCACAACACTGCCCTGAAAAAAATACTGTTGAAATTAAGTTTTTCCCGGCCACTTAAGAGCTTGGGAGAAGGACAGGAACAAGGGCTAATCACCTGACTGGGGCTGCGCAGCAGAAGTAACAGGGCGGGCTCTCCCGGACGCGGGGGGCTCGTGGGTGCTGCCCATCTGCAGGTGCGTGCAGGCCACCTGAGGAGCTGCAAAGGGGCAAAGTTCCACTGACAGGAGATGGAAACCTCGGGATGAGAGGAGTGGTGGCCCCTGGCTGTTGGCTAACTGTCCGATAAGTGAGAAGGACAGCAGGTGGCATTTGTGAGTTCAGAGAGCAGCGGTCCTAGGGCCGGGGCTCCTGGAAGCAGGAGGTGACTGCAGCGCGTGGGGATCATGAAAGAGCGAGCCTGGGAAACACGCGGAGGACGCCAATTCCCACATCCTTTGAAGAGAATGAGTGATATTTTTAAAAAATCATTCCATGCCAAGTGGGCGTCCAAGAAAACTTGTCGACTGTCCCTGGGGGCTCTCCATGCAGAGTTGACCTGAGGCGATTTCAGTTTCAAGGTGGCCTCTGAGAAGGCCCGGCGTCCCCCACCACACCCCCGGACGGGCCCAGCTCGGCTCCGGTGAGTTCTGGCTTTGCAGGGGGCTCGTGATTGGGGGGAGGGGGGAGGTAGAAACTCTCCGTGGTCACTGAGTGATGCAGAGCCACCTTCCAGGGTGTGACCACAGCCTGGCCTAACTCTGCACAGGGGGCAGTGGCTGTCCTGCCCCAAAGGCATTTGGGGACGGTATCAGTGAGGATATGTGCGCTGTACCTGATTGCACCTTGGTTTCCTGGTACCAGTGTGTGCGCTGCATTGCACCAGGCTGGCATCTAGGAGGCAGCTGTGCATGTGTGTAGTGTGTTAGGCCTAGTCCCCTCATGTTCTGACCACCTGCAGCTTCCCCCTCCTGGGCCTGTACTTTCCTTGTCCTGCAGCCCCCGCCCCCTAACACCTGGCTTTGTCTGTCACAGGTGACCCCTGACCTTACCAGCCTCTGTTGCTGGCTCAGAACCTGCTGGCTGAGTCCCACAAAGGCTCTCAGCCTTGTCCCAGGGCCCGGCAGGCTTCTGAAGCAGCCAGTGCCTCGTCCATCCCGGCCACAGGTGTTCACAGGGTCAGAGACCTCGCCGGGCTGCGCCGGGCCAGGCCCCACCCCCGTGCAGCTGGCCGAGGCCCTTGCGTAAACAAAGCCCTGCGTATCAGCTTGTGACTGGAAACAAGCTGCCGCCTCGGCCTGTGGAACCTGGAACAGAGGTGGGCGGGAATGCCAGTCCCGGGCTCTCATGCATGGTTAGTGAGTAGTGTCCAGGACGCTTGTCCCCAGCCAACCTGTGAGGAAAAACAGCCAAGCCCCTGACTGTCTCCTAGACGATGCTGGATGCCCAGAGCACATGCATGTAGAGTTACAGACAGGGATGGAGGCACCGAGAAGGCCTGGGCCGTCCCCACAAGCAGGTTCACAGAGGCGACCTGGGCACGCTGCCTCACGGTCAGGAGCGGGCCTGCTCTGCATCTCTTACCGTGTATGCCTCGCCACTGCTGTCGCCTGTTTACAAATACAATCCCTACCTGGCCCGGCCCTGCCAGGTAACCTGTTTCAGACGTCAGCGGGTCTGCTCGCACGGGTACCCGCCAGGGACCCCTCCCTCGTGCCCCCCAGGCCGCAGGGCTCTGTTCGCCCCCGCCCAAGGGCACGGCACCGCGGTAGGAGAGCAGGGCCCAGCGGGGCTTTTAGCTTCACAGCCACTGGCCTGCCACCTAAAAAAAAAAAAAAAAAAAGTTAAGAAGCTTGCCATCCCCATTCTATTTTAAGAACCTCTTTTCTGGAAAGGGCAGAAAACAAAGTTCTGCTGTCCTTCACTTTGGGGGCGGGGGGGAGGCGGCTTGAGGACCAAGTCCCAGGAAGATGACTCAGCAGGCTTTGTGAACTCTGCCCTTGCAGGCCTCTGCGCGTCCTGACACAGGGCCGGCACCCACCGGGCACAGGCCTGGGCCCGCCTCGGTCCTCTCCTGCACCCCTGGGGAGCAGACACTCTCGTCACCCCCCGTTACAGGTGCAGAGGCTGAGGCACCGCATTCACAAGGCAAACACGTATGTGGACGTGCCGGGCACGGATGGCAGCCTGTGCTGTCTCCCGCTCGTCTGGCCCCAGCCTACTGGGCTGGGAGCTCATACAGGCCTCAGTCCCCGGATCCTGCCTGGGGAAGTAACACTCCGCAGCCACACACAGGAGCGCCAGTTATTTTTCCCCAGTGTGGTCTCGATTCCTGGCTTGTAACGAAGGCCTTGACCACACAGTTATTTACTATCCCACTCAATTAAAGCTCATTGAGTTTTTAAAAAATCCTGAAGGAAAGTGACCGACATGTTTTCACAAGAAGCACTTTTCTGATATGTATCATTAATCCTGCCAGCTTTACCACAGTGGGAAACGACCAAAAATGTAGCTGAATAAAAAATAATCAGAATGGATACTTGGTGATTTGAAATTATATTCCTAGGAAATAGAGTAGCAACTGGTAATGCTGTAGTGCATTTGCGGGTTATTGTTTTCTTACCTTACGGAAGTGGTTCAGGTCCGGGAGGATGAGCAAGGTCCTTGGGTCACAGAGCAGGGAAGACGGCTGGACAGGCGAGGAGACATCCGAGTCCTCCTTGATGCTGCCACTCATTCTCTCAAAATGAGCCTGCAGTGGACAGTGGTCGAGAACAGATGGACGCATCAGCGATCCACACAACAGACCACCATGCAGCTGTGAGAAAGCAAGCAGTGCTGCCCCGTGACAACACGGGCGGGCCTTCAGGGCAGACAGGCTAAGTGAGGTCAGTCGGAGGGAGAAAGACAAGTACGGGATGATCTCACGTGTGGAATCTGAAAAAGCTGAAGTCACAGGAACAGAGTAGACGGGTGGTTTCCAGGGGGCAACGGGGAGATGCTGGTCAAAGCATACAGACTGCCAGTTGTAAGAGCGAATTCCGGGGCTCTAATGTACAGAGTGGTGATTATAGCTAATGATACTTACTGTATTATATACTTGAAAGTTGCTGGGCACATCTTAAATACTCTCACCACACAAAAAGAAATGGTGATTACGTGACATGATGCAGGTGCTAGCTGATCACTTTGCAATATACAAGTATATCAAATCAACCCATTGTGCAACGTATATGCCAATTACATGATGTTATATGTGAATTATAACACTATCTCAATGACTGGGGAACAATCAAAAAAATAACTGAGGAGTCGGATGAGCCCCGCCACCAGGTCGGGGCAGAACACCTGGAGGGCCGTCCGCAGAGGCGCCGGCGAGCCAGGCCCCAAGGAGGCACAGCTCCGCCAGCAGAGGCGCTCTGTCTTGTCCCTCCCTGTCCTGGGCATCGTCCGGGTGGGCTCTGAGCCAGCACCTCCCCTCCAGCCCCAGCCCTCCTTCCTGCCTGGGGAAGGCCCATCACCAGCATCCAAAGACAGGTGCACACGCTCGCCGCACCCAGTTCACACATGGAGAAGAACCACGTGAGAGCACGTCAGTGACCCGGCCCCTCGGTTACTGGCCCTGCTGCCGTTGCTCTATTTAATCCTCAGTGGTCACACAGCTCTTGGCTGGACTGGTTTCATGTGAAAGGCATAGCACAAGCCAGGTGACATGAGCACCCTTCTCCCTCCCCCAGGACAAATGACTGACTGACTGAATCAGACGGCGTCCCTCTCTGCTCTGCCACAGGAGCTCTGGGGCTGAGCGCCCCAGGGGCAGGGGTGGGCATCCAGCCTCCGCATCATGTCCCCTCTCTGTCTGTGTTACAGCTGGGAAATGACTTGCTGGAGTTTTGCTTCTACACCTTCCGAGAGTCCCAGGCCCTGAAAGTGGAGTTCCCCGCGATGCTGGTGGAGATCATCAGCGACCAGCTGCCAAAGGTGGAATCCGGGAACACCAAGACCCTCTACTTCCACAGGAAGTGACAGCCACATCTCAGCAGAAGAACTTTGCCTTAAGTTTCCCTGTGTTACTCAACACCCACGAAGGACCCAAGAAATCATATTTTTAACATGGGATGGTGGATTCACACTCATTTGGCAGTTTCTCACACTTGAGTCACGTCGAGGGTTTGGAGCCGGGAAAGCATTTAGGCGTGGATGTGGCAAGGCCCAGACGGTCAAAAGGACTCTTCCCTCTCCGGTCCCAGCGCTTAGAAACACGTTCCCGTTCCTCTGGATGAAAAGCCATATCTAGTCAATAACTCTCTGATTTTGATATTTTAACAGAAGGAAGTTTTAACTATGCCATGTAGTTTCTGGTATCGTTCGCTTGTTTTAAAAGGGTTCAAGGACTAACGAACTTTTTAAAGCTTACCCTTGGTTTGCACATAAAACGTATAGTCTATATGGGGCATTAATATTCTTTTGTTATTTAAAAAACAAAAAAAGAAAAAAATCTACAGATCCCTGCTGTGTAATAACAGAGCACGTGGTGTGGAATAGCGCCCCTCTGGCTGGCATCCGCCCACGTTCCTCTGTATCATGGGCGTCCACATCTTTAGCGTCTGTTTGTTAATTAGGATGGATAAGATGTTAAAAAAAAAATGCCTTGGTTTCGATTTCTAGTATCTATTGTGTTGGCTTTACAAATAATTTTTTTTGCAGTTTTTTGCTGTGCTGTACATTACTGTATGTATAAATTGTGAAGGACCTGAGTTATATAAGGTATAAGGAACTTTTGTAAATGAGACATAAAAAAAAAAAAACTTCAGTGGTTAATAGGAAGAATGGGAAAGTATTTTTGAAAGAATTCTATTTTGCTGGAGACTATTTAAGTACTATCTTTGTCTAAACAAACAAGGTAAAAAAATTCTTTTTGTAAAGTGAAATGTTCTGCATGCCTAATGAACTGTTTACAGTGTATTTAAGAAAGGGAAAGCTGTGCCTTTTTTAGCTTCATATCTGATTTACCATTTTACAGTCTCTGTTGTAAATAACCACACTGAAACCTCCTGGGTTGTCTTCAAGCCTTTCTACTGTTTCTGTACATTTGTTTTGTCCTTGGTCTCCCGCGTGGGGCGTTTGTGGGACTTGAGCATGTTTCCCGGCTTCTGCTTCACCCTGCTTCCATCAGGGAACCACCGGCCGGGGGTGTCCTTGGCGCCTTGAAGGCGTCACCTGACACACACGTAGGAGGAGGCCCCGGGAGTGTGTGGCCTCAGGACAGCTGCCTCTTTTCCTTTGTCCTCAAGAAGCAGAATCAGCTGTAGGAGAGTAGAGACTGTGGAAAGGCAAGGGCTCAGCGAGCATATTCTCATCCTACTTTAGAAAAACGAATTTTCTCCTTTGGGGAAAAAACTCCATGCACTCTCTACATCGGTAAAAGGTGACATGTCCCCGCCCGGTCCCCGGAGCGGGCCGCAGGAGCGCACAGGCCCTCGCAGGGCTCACTGGGAAGAGGCACAGCGGCGCGGCCAGAGGGCGTGGAGACCGCACAATCGTTAGAGGGTTTTTACATTTTTAAAAGGTAGGTTTTAACAATAAATTTTATACAGCAACAGTTTTTTGTGGGGGGAGGGGAACTACAGATCACATAAGCAAGACAGTGGCACTAAAATTTGTAATTCATTAATCTGTTTGGCATGGAGGCAGTTTATGGCTTCTCTCTGCCCCAAATCACAAACCTCCCTCTCTTTGGGGAAATGTAACAATAGTATTGCACTAAATAAACTACTTTGAATAGAGGCCAAATTAATCTTTTAAAAGTGATGATAATCATCCTGTACTCAGTGAAATTGCGTTATTTCCCAAAACCTAAAAGCTGGAGCTGGAGAAAACCAAGGCCAGGAGCAGGCAGCGTCGGGAGCCACGCCTTTCTGCAGGGTTCCCCGGCAGGCAGGCAGCATGACCGTGTCTTTCCAAAGACACCTGCCTGTGCGAGGGGAAGCCTGTGAAAGGTGCGTTCAGAGGGAATCTTCTTACATCATTTGCAACTTCAGGAATTTAATTTATAGGCAGATCTTTAAATACAGCTAACTTACTTACATGCACAGCAATATGAAAGCCGCACTTGGAAGGGGATAAATACACAGCATGCAGACTGGGAGTTTCTAGGGGGGAATAACGGCGTACAAGAGCAGCTTTTAGCTCAGACGCACTTTTTACAAAATCAGAATTTCAACGTAACCAGGTTTGGTATGGCGACGGTCTGCATCAGCTTTTTGTGTTAACAAAGTTACTGGCTCTCTGTGTGTCTCCGGGTAACTTTGCTTGATTAAACAGCAAAGCCATATTCTAAATTCACTGTTGAATGCCTGTCCCAGTCCAAATTGTCTGTCTGCTCTTATTTTTGTACCATATTTCTCTTTAGAATCTTGGTTTGGTACAATTCATAATTCACCAGAACTTCTTCATATAATTAAAAAACACACTAAATTAGTTTAAAATGAAGCAATTTATATCTTTATGCAAAAACATATGTCTGTCTTTGCAAAGGACTGTAAGCAGATTACAATAAATCCTTTACTTTAATCGCCTGTGGTTTCAGAAACAGTTCATTTGAATGTCTGTAGGAACACCTGGATTTTGCGTCCTCCTAAATCCTGATCGTATGTGCTTCTGCCTACCTCCAAAATGCAGAAACCGGTTTTTGGTTTGGTTTTTTCCACCATGTTAGAGACCTGTGCTAGCCACATGTTAATTATACTCTTTGAGGACCAACTAGGTGCCTTGTTTCTATTAATATCTGGTCCATGAAAATACCCTGAACAAATTTAATAACAACTGTTAACGCTGTAGCAGCTGAACACTACACATACACATTGCCTCCTGTATCTTCACAACTACATGAAAGTTTGTTTAGTCTACATACTTAGGACTCCCGTGAGCAGACCAGACGCCCCATCCGACTCCCGATGTCTTCCCTGTGCTGCTTTCCCGCGTTCTCTCCCCCGAGAGTTCCTGGGCCCCGGCCCTGTTTCTCACGCTCCTCACAGACTGCTCCTTTGGATTCCGCTCATGAATACGAACCACAAAAGAGCAGTGAGCAATTATCATCTCACTTTAAAATTAGAAAACATTTCTTTCCCACAAGATAACATTCAAGCACAGTCATGCACAGCCTGACGACGGGGATACGTCTGAGAAATGCATCATTAGGCAGTGTCGCCTTTATGCGGCCACCACGGACACGCACGGAGTGCTCGCACACAGACCTACATGCTAGAGCCTGCTACCCACCTAAGCCCACTGCTCCTGGGCCACAAGCCTGCGCAGCGCATTACTGTGCTGAATACTGTAGGCAGTTGTAACACAATGCTACATATCTGTGTATCTGCATATAGAAAAGGTGCAGTAAAAATACGGTACAAAAGTTGAAAAAAATAATACACCATTTGGGCCACTCACCATGAATGGAGCTTGCAGAACTGGAAGCCACTCTAGGGGAGTCACAGTCGGCAGCGAGTGACTCCGAAGGTCTAGGTCATGACTGTGCGCTGCTGTAGACTCTTCGTCACCGTGCAGTTAGGCCACACTATGCTTATAAACTCAAACACAAGAGAAAATGGTGCAGTCAAGAGGCAACAGTGAACTCGAGAGGTCTGAGGCTGCTGCTGGTGTAATACAGCACACTGTTCTACAGCAAGCCTTCTCTCTCCTAAGAAGAAAGAGTACACTCAAAAATAATGATAAAAAGTATAGTATAGTAAATACACAAACCTGGAATATGCACATTTATTCTCAAGAACCATGCTCTGTACATAACTGCAAGTGCTTTACTTTTACACTGCTGATAGGTTTATGTAGAAGTACCAGCATCGCCACAAACAAGTGACTAATGCATTACACAACGTTACCATGGCTACGATGTCACTAGGTGGTAGGAATTTTTCAGCTCCTTCATAACGTCATGGCCCATCACCACTGACATGGTCTATCACTGACCAAAAGGTCATTATGTAGTGCGTGACTGTACTTTTTTAATCTGTCACTTAACTGGTGATCATTCAAACCATTTGCTTTCAGAAAGAGAAGACTACTTGAGAGCTCAACAAATTCAACTTCACTTATACACAAGAGCTATATTTCTGGGACACCTCATATGCCATTAACCACAGCACAGGATAAAATGTATGGCAAAGACTAGACTTGTATGTAGAAACTTGTTTGTAAAATATCTACGGATGAAGGTAATTTTATATCTTAAAATGTATGGAATTTGACCTATTAGGGAGCAGAGCTTTTCACGGAGAGCCCGCAATTGTCAACAAAAGCCATCCCAGGCCTTGAGCCCGCCAAAGCTAACGAGAGGCCACACCAGTTGTCACCCTTGGTTATAGTGGGTGCCGTCTGTGAACAGAGCAGGCTCAGTCTTAGGTCAAGGATGCCTATATTTCTAAGGGTACTCTCAGGCCCAGAGAACCCCATCTGCACGTCGAGGAATCAGCTAGGAACTAAGTCTAGCCACCAGACGGCCAACCACTGCAAGCTGAAGGAGCTGGAATGTGCATCATGATGTGTATGTATGTAGGGGTTGGTTTGCTCTTTCCTGTATACTGAATGACCCTCAGGCAAATAGCATCGTCCTTTTAAGTAAAAGTCAGCTCTAGCATACTTCTTGATAAACTGCAAGTGAGCACAGACTAAATGACTTGATTATAAGTATCTCTGAGACGTCATTTCAAGTCTTCCAATTGCCAGCGCATTTTTCTTGGAAATAAAACAGTGGCTTCCCAAACAACACTGGGTAAGAGAAGATTAAGATGTGATCTTACCAACCAGCATGCACCTTGGCAGTATCAAAAGCAAAGTGAACCATGGGGCAGAGGAGCAGGCGGTTACCTACAATATGCTCCCCCCCTCAAAACCCTTAGTGGTTTAAATCAACCATCGTTTATTATGGCTCATGAGCTTAAGTCAGCTGGGAGGGTTCTGTGGATCCGGCTCAAGCTGGGCTGAGTCAGGCTTGTTCACATATCTGTGGGCAGCCAGTGGCTACCTGGTCTAGGGCAGTTGTGTTCCACGTGGCCTCTCACCCTCCAGGGGGCTGCCCTGGGCACACCTTCACAGGAGAATCAAGGCTCTAGGGAAGACAGTGGAG